TCACAGCTAAGCAATTGTAATACTTAAGTGATTATTTTCTGAGTACAAAAGCAGATACGTTAATCCTTTTGCTGAATAACAGTATAAAAGAAACGCACCGTCAACTGGCGATTGTCAATATTTACGCTACTCATCCACCTGAGTAAGGCAGCAACGTTGCGTGTATATGCTTACAACGTTGTTGTTGCTATTTAGTTCAGATTGGCACAAGATCACAAGCATGGGGTAGCCTGCATGGGGCACCCTGCGAGAACCGAACTCATTACTCGGCATTAACGGCCTGCCAGGCTAACCTCGATAACTATAAAGGACGGAAAGAGTGACGTTGAATTCCGACGGCTTGTTGGGTAGGCAAAGATGCACTCCAGAAGCTAAGCAGAGTATTAAGAAACAGGAAAAAAAAACTTCGTTAGAAACGAAGAAAAGACTACTGGACTGTTATTTAATACCAGCCCTCCTATATGACCATAAATACTGGACAATCTCTTCACAGATGAAGTGGAGACTGGAACAACCAGAAACGTGGTTCTACAGATAGAAGCTGAGGATATGTGAGCAACAACAAAGTTTTAGAGAAAATGGAAACAAAAAGGAAACTTATACTGAAGTATATGCCCTCCTATATGGCAGTGAATGTCGGTTGACATCCTCAAAGATGAAAAAGAGACCTAAATTTGGTTCGACAGAAGCATACTGTGGATACAATAGACCAAATATGTGAGCAACAACGAAGTTTTTGAGAAGATGAAAAAAACAAAAAAAACAAAACAAAATAACAAAACAAAACAAAAAAAACAAAGGAAATTTATATTTAACATCAGAAAGAGACAGTTGAAATTTCTAAGGTAAATGAGAAAAGAGGGTTTGGAAAATCTAATACTCACAAGACAGATTGAAGGCAAGAGGGACAGAGGAAAACAATGTATAACATACTCAGTGAGCTTGAGTAAATGGATATCGGAACAAGGTTTAGCGGAAATAACAAGATAAAATTTATTAAGAGCTGCGATGGACAGGAAATTGTGGAGAGCCATGATCGTCGACGTCCTGAGGGGAGATAGTACAAAAAGAAAAAGAAGCGCCCCGAATACACCGATGTTGCTGTAACCGTGCGAACATATCTTCATGGCTTTAATTAATGTTTACGATAGTGCAAAAGTTAGTGCATTTTCTTCAAAGTACAGTTGACACAGAATGGTAATATCAGCCGTTTCCTTATAAGGAAACATTTGGTTTTCATTGATGAAGCACCCAGTCTTACTCGAATTACGCTTTTCTTCTCTCCCTGGTTATTCGACTAGGATCAAAGTGTAGTATCTGCCCCCGGGCAAACAAACTACATTTTATCTCTCAGTTGCGTTTCTGCCCGTTGTTGGTTGGTTGTTTTTGTTTAGCGGCATATCAACACCTCTATGGGTTATTTAATGCCAAAATCTAAATAATTTGAACGCAATTGTGTGTCTTCAACTACAGATAAAATGTATTGTTGGTTATTTTACTATAAATACGCATTGTTGGTATTTTTTATAGAAAAATGTATTGCCAGTAATTCTACTATAAAAATGTATTTTTATACTTTCATAATGTTTTGTTTTTGTTGGGGGGTCACTATTTGTCCATAGCTGCCACCCCGGGTCAGGGTGGACCTGTGATTAACAGCAATTAAAAGGCGGATCCCCGCCTCTCAAAACGTACTGATCAGAGGCCTTGCTGCCGGATGTAGTTTATCGTCATACCCAGGTTTTGTCCTCGGAAAGAGGGCAACTGAGATGTGTCTTTGTCTCCGAGCAGAGCGCTAATGAAAATATTATTGAAAGATGGCGGGTCTTCGGGAACAGTTACCCGCGACAATACCTCCATCATTGCATTAAAGATATGGTACTGACGGTAGTGAAAGTTGCAGGGTGGGGGCAATTTTGGGACTTGACCCGGGCGTACGCACTCAAACTCCCAACAGTAAACTGACCTTGTATCATATCCTGTCAGCGAAAGTACATAACCTGTCAGCGTAATCTGCCTTTGTCCGGGCAATCCTCATTTTATTTCTCAGTTGTGTTTCTGTCTTCGGACAGAACACAACAAATAAATTCGGGATGCCTGATCCCGATGATTCCAACTCTGCGGCAACACCTCCCACATTGCCCCAAAGAGAGAGGGTCGGTGGAATATTGACGCCAGCGCGGCTTTGGTTGCGAAGGCCGGGTAATTATTGCACATGGACTTCTCACTTCGAAGTGACGTTGTGCCTTATCACGTCACGTGCGATGACGAATAAATACCAAGTGTAGTATCTGTTCTCCTCATCTCTAATGGTAATGATAGTATTAGCCGTTTCCTTATAAGAAAACACTTCGCATTCACAGACCAAACAGCTAGTATTACTTTCGATTGAATTTTATAAAATTTCTCTATTAAAATATTTTTCAGTAAAATGAGTTTCCTAAATCCAATAACTGTTATCGATCTTTCCAGTATTGATGGGTACTTATTTCCTTATGTTTTGTCTGACTCTTTCTGATCCTAAGCAATTGTCATTTTTGTTCTTTAAAACTTCCGCATTTCTCACATATTCTGTCCATGTTATTAAAAGTATTCTTCTGTAGAACCAATCTTCATTGCTTCAAGTCTCCTCTTCAGCTGTGAGGAGATTGCCCAGCATTCACTGCCATATTGGTTGATATATATTACGTGGCAGTTCAGCAAAGTTTTCCTGTTTGTTAATATTGTGCTTATTTTGTAACCTAGAAAGGGTTACTGAATGAGAAATAACCAAAATGGTGGTTGGACATGAAATGGTAATCTTTATAATACCAACAAAATACAATACACGCATTTCATAAGGCATGTCACAGAGATCTAACGAAGGTTCCTATACAGTCGCTAATTGGTCAGGCGAGCTCTCCAAGTGACATTCAAAGCCACTCTTAGCATGCGGGTGCAGGCTCTACTCAATAATGGCATCCCAAATTTCCAGGAACCTGCTCTATAAAGCCAGGTAATTTTTAGGAACCTATTCTGCTTTTTTTTTCAATCTGAGAATGAAAACAAATCACTTTATAGTAACAAAAAATAAATAAATAAATAAAAATAAACTATTTTGTTAATTTAGCAGAAAACATTTATTTACTAACATATTTCCAGATTGAAATTCTGTTCTCATCACATTTCTATCCAGAAGTTTGATGTTTTTTGACTCAAGTGTCATCAACTGTATTATTGTTTCTTAGTCACATTCGAACCGAATCACTGCAGTCCCAAAATTCCAATGGAAGATTGTCAAATATATGAGTAGCAGATTTCCTACATTTTTAACTTCAAGACGATTTCTTTTGTCAGAATAAATTATGTTCATCACAGAAAAACACTCTTTCAGCCTCCGCAGAACTTACAGCAATGGCATTAGTTATATTTTTAGCACTTTGGATAATTTTCGGTATAACATGTTTATATTAATTTCTCGTTACATTTTCAACGTAATCACAGAAATCACTAGGCGCGCGCACGAGAGTAGCGTAAGTAACAGTTTGCCTAGACCATCGGCTATTAATATATAAGATTATTTTCGGATAATCCAACAGTTCGCTAAGCTTTTATAATTTTAAGAATCGGTTCGCGCGAACCTGTGTGATGCCACCACTGGGATACGTCCAATATTCTTTCCAGTTTTGGGTTATGGGTCAATGCTGAGAAACCATACAACAGAACAGAGGTAAGAGTTGATTGAAAGAGGCTTTTTTTTCATGTTACCTGGAAGTCCAGATTTCCACGCTAGAGATAACTTGTTGACGGCACTCCAGGCTTTATCAATGCATGTTTACATCGCTTTCGCGGTTAGAGATAATATTACCTAGTTAAAAAATTCTTCTACGCAGTTGAGAGGTGTGGCAGATATTGATTTTGATTGTTCGAAAACAAATTTGGAACTATCAAAGCTATGAATATGTTGTACCATACCTACGGACGATAATGGGTATGTCCCCATTAACATAAATACAGTAGTAAAACTGTATGTTGGTCTCCAGTTAGAGATTCGTCTCCAGCTGTACTGGTCAAGCTCTCTGCCTCCGGGCAGAGAGGATCCTCAGACGAGGCTATGTCGAAGGGCAGAGTCTCGTCTCGGGAAACAGCTTCCCGACCCCGTTTTATACGGAGTCTACAGGGAATTTTTGGCCGAGCTTACGGTCTCGGATTACCCTACATTAAATTCAGCCTTGTGCCACATCTGATCGCGTGGGCGGTGGGAACTTTCAACTTTGATTGGTTGGTTGTTTTGTCTAGCGGCATATCAACCTCTATGACAGTGGTTCTCAAGCTTTTTGAAGTCGAGGCGCACTTGAAATCCTACCATCCTGCAATCCACTGCAATTGTAGGTGCACTATATACAAATTTCGGAAAAATATGTTATAATGAAGTCAAATATTGCAGATAAGAAATAATGCAATAAAAAAAAAAAATGAAACCTAACTTAAGTTTATTCATTCTTGTGTTTATGGGAAACATGAACCTGGTGTATTTTAGCGATTTCTTCAATGTTTGGGCGTATATTTGATAAACAAACTCTCATTTTCTCCTCAATACATTGAAGAGTTCCTCTCTTTTTGCACTTAACTGTGGTGAGTGCAGAAAAGCCTAATTCACAAAAATATGAACGAAACGGCATCGCAATATATTTACTTCTTATATCTGGATATATATTTCTCTAGAATGCACCTATACATCTTCCAGGGCGCACAAGTGCGCCAAGGTGCACGATTTGAGAACCATTGCTCTATGGGTTATTTAATACCGAAATCTAAATGTTTTGCTCGCAAATTTTATTTTTTTGGAGATAATAATGGTTTTAGTACTACAAATTTTACTAATTAACCCATAGCTAGAGGGGAAAATAAATGGATTAAAGGTATTTGAGGGTAAATTATTATAACGAACTCAACTGGAACTGAAACTCGGCTCTTCGATTAACAAAGCCATTATCTATTACACCACCAGCACAGCCAAGCTTACAGCACCTGGTATTCCGAAGCGGTTACCCATCTAGGTACTGACCAAGCTCGAGGTTGCTTAACTTCTGTGATTATACTGGAACCGGTGTTTCAACGTGATTTGGCCGTAAGCCTTTCCACTTTACACACGTTCGATAGTATACATTACCTTCTCCATAAAGCTCACAAAAATATTTTTGAGTTTGTGGCACATATTTACCTTACTTAAAATAATATGCCAATCATACTGCTTTTTTTTTCTTCTTAGACAATGTCGATAAATAAATTTTGTTAATTTTTGCCCTAATTCTTGTTAATCCTTACCCTACTGAGAATCAATAAAGAACGTGCTAATTTTTTAATCCCAACTCTAACCCTGTGAAGAATCAATGAAGTAGATTATGTTATACTTTACTCGTAACCCTATCCCAGCCGAGATTCAATAAAGATAAAACACGCTAATATTTAATTTTTAGTTGACATTTGTAGCATGACTTTTGTCACGAATCAAAAGCGATTTCTTTTTTAAATGATATTAAAGTGAAACGCATTTAATGCCATCCAACGATAAACATAGGACGTTATATGGGTTCAACAATGTTTTCAAATCAACTGAACCTTAAACGGTCAATTCAACAATGGTGGGAATAAAGTTTGAAATAATATAAACATTGGATATTTGATGCCAACTGATAAAGTTCTGTCCTTTCTTCTCTTGAAGCCAAAATGCTGCGATCACTTGTCTGTATCCCTTTTTAGTATGTCAACGCTATTCTTAGTCTGTGAACTGTTTGCCTTTTTAATGTGGCTTTGCCTTTGTTATTGTTGCTTTGCCTTACATATATTGTTTACTTGTTTTATATTATTTTTGCCTTATTCTTTTCTCTTGTTATTGTTTATGGCAAACTTTGTCAGTTCTGTTTGTTGGGCATTTCTGCTAATTACATTTAACTTTGGCCAATTACTCTACAGAAATATTAATGAATAATGGTGGTTCCTCCCACAAAAATGCGGGGGGAGGTTCAATTTTTGGCGGAGAGCACATTTTCTTTATCAAGATTTCTCTAATGCGCAGGCTGATAGACGTGTTGCACACTGTTTAAAAGAAGAATAAAATGGGGCGTCTATCCAGCAATCAATACATATTTCTCTGTTTTCTCTTTCTATCTTTGTTTTTCATAAACAGAGTTATTTTTATTGCTAGTAGCTGTACACGTGGAAATTTCAGTTTTCCTATTTGAATTTTCTACTGAATCATAATTCTTAAGTTAATGATTTGTCGGAGTTAACTCCTCCTTAAATTTTCCAATTGTCCAAATTGTTCCTAGGGGACGCTCTCCCAACACTATAAATACTTAGCGATTTCTTTTCTCGCCCTCTTTTTTCACTTTGAGGGTACCTCAGCGTGGTGTAATGGTTAGCAAGCTTGTCTCGCTAGATCAGTTACAACTGAAAAGTGAGTTCGATCCTCACTGGATGTCCCATACTTTCGGCCTTGTGCCACATCTAAGCTACGCTTGGAAAATCTCTTTTTCACTTTTAATTTTCAGAGGACACTACGACAATGTAGACTCTCGCAGCAGATTGCGTTTTCCCCTACGTAGGTGGCGCTATGCGTTTCCTTTGGAAAACGCCATGTTACATACATACAAACACACACATATACACGCACGTATGAACTTTCACTCACGCATTTCTTGGAACACAAACTTTGCACAATTATTTGTTACACATACACATTATTGTTATTGTAATTTGTATCAGTTTGTTAATACACATATAATTGTTTGAATATATATATCGGTCTTGGTTGTTTTCTTATACATGTCTTTTGATTGGACTCATCTTGAGCCCGCCATGTTTCTAGTGGACTTCTTTCTTTATTTCAGGAGACCACACATGTTTCATTTCACAACGCGTATTAAACACACGGTCCGCTACAGATTGATTAAGTTCCTTGCGAGTTCCCCCTATTGCACGGTTAAATATATGAGTTTAACAACTTTTAACAAAATAGCAATCATAAATATGAATGCAGGCCATTATTTAAAGAAGAGGGTACGAATGAAAAGATTCAAAACCAAATTTTTCCATTTCACTGAAGCAGACGTTAAACAATTGAGAGTGTCATCGCCTCCTCTATCTTCCTGTTTCTTTCTTTCTTCTTATTGTTATGACAATTTACTAATCTCAGCCTTGATGTGACACAATGTCGAAATTATGGAGCACCCAGTGAGGATCGAACTTACTACTCAGCCATAACTGATCTAACGAGACAAGGTTGCTAACCATTATGCTACGTCAAAGTGAAACGTTCTTATTGTTATAGTTATATTTTAAACGTATCTTAGATGTGGCTCAAAATCGAAAATATAGAGCAATTAGTGAGGATCGAACTCACTAATCAGTCGTATTTGATCTAGGGAAACAATTACACCCCCTCGAATAACCCCTTCTTATTGTTATGTATGCTTCCTTTTTTCCCTAAAACCAGTGTCGCTGATAAACAGGGTGTCAGATGGCAAGTGGGCCCTGTTAGAGTGGGACACCTATATCGAATAAAAATTCAATAAAGGTACAAACACAGACAATTGTTTTAATATTAAAAAGGAATACAAACTTTATAAAGTCAGATGCACTCTATCAGTTACTCAAGTTCAATGTATGTAGTCCTGGGTATGACGATAAACTACATCCAGCAGCAATGCCTCTGATTGGGAGATTGGAGATTTAGAGGAGCGTGGAAGCACCTCTTAATTGCTGTTGTTCCCAGGTCCACTCTGACCCGGTGTGGTACCATCTGTTAGGGCCCCAACTATGGGAAAATAGTGAACTCCAGACAAGAATAAACATTATGAAAGTATAAAAACATATTTTTATATTAAAAAATACCAACAATATAAATTTATAGTAAAATTACCAACAATACATATTTAGAGTACATATTTATTTGAAGCCGTAACATTGTGTTCAAAATGTTTATTTCGACATTAAATGACCCATAAAGGTGTTGATATGCGGCTCAACAAAATCAACCAACCAAAATCCAAATATTTTGATTTCGGCATTAAATAACCCATAGAGATTGATATGACGCTAAACAATTTCAACCAACCAAAGTCCAATGTGAAAGGATATTTTCAAAACTAAAGATCACAAAGACAAGGTTAAGAAATTCGCTGAGAATTTGGAATTATACATGTTGCTATTCAGTGAAAAGGAATTGCTAGAAGAAATTGGATGCACAAGCAATTATTGACAGATTCGAACAATCATTTATTATGTATTATGGGAAACTTCAATGCTAACTATTTCTTTCCGTGTAATCGATGGTCGTCTGATTTCACCAGAGATACTAACCTTATATAATGTTTTAAATTTGATATATTTATAGCGGAATGGCATTTTAGCGTCGAGAAGAGATTGTAGATATAATGTGGACACTGAAATCAATACATGGCCTGACGATCGCTTAACATCACGTAGTTACGTGAAACAGCCAATCACCATGCAGTGTCGATTTCTATGTAAACACACACACAATATATATATATATATATATATATATATATATATATATATATATATATATATATATATATATAAGATAAAATATAACTTTAAGGTATGCTACATTTATGGATTAATTAAAGTGTTTAATATCAGGGATAGAGCGTAAGTAAATGTAAAAGTGACAGTCTGTTTCATGCTTAAACGCAATCGTCATGTAATGCGGGTTGTGTTTTGGCTCGAATTTATATATGCTGGTCATTGAGGCATTATGGCTAGGCCTATTGCATTATTCTTACGGTTATTAGTGTAGACGGTAACGGTTATGTTTAAAATTATTCCAGGGACTATTGAGTGGAAATAATTGTGGATCCGAATGCACTTTTATGTCTATTTTATAGTAGTGTTAACTTTTTTTTTACTCATTATTTATTACTCATTATTTTATTATCTGTTGTTGTTTGTCATTGTTACGTTTACTTGTGTTTTATCTGTGCGTTCGTATTTGGTTAATTTGTTTATTATTTACTTAAATTATTTACTGATTTATTGGTTTGGGTCAATTTATTTTACTTATTTATTTTTGTTTATTTATTTATTTATTTTTGTTCGTTTTTAACTTTGAAGTCTTCTTTGAACAGTCAGATGTTAATTTTCCTGGAAAGAAACAATGCAGTTATTAATAAGAGTTGAAATTAATATGTATGGTTTTATTTCCCATTCCTCTCCAGTTAAAGTGGATGCCGCTTAAAAGACTGGACTTCAAAATGAACCATCTGTTTATCTATCAAACAGAAACACTTAAGAATAATCACATCTTCCCATAGTTCATAGTATCACAATAGCTCTAACAAATTAAACATTCAGCAGGTTTTTAATTGTAGCTTTATATGAGAATATATTGAATGTTTGAGTCGTGGCTTGCGTTTTTAACCTTAAGAAAACGTACAGTGAAGCAGTCGAGTTAAAAATGAATATCTCAGTAAAAATTCAAGAAATAAAAGAATTCTTGCGGAAACAATGAATTTTTTTTTTAAGTTAAATTGTAAATTTTAATCGATTTGTTTTCAAATATTTTATTTTTTTTAAAAAAAATCTTGAAAAAAAAATCTCTACGTTTCAATCTTTAAATATTTTTAAAATCATTTCATCCGAAGCAAGGCGATAAAGCCACTAAGACGCAAGGGGGTTACTGAGAGTGAAAGAAAGTGAGAAAAAGATTAAGGAAAGAGTGGTCATTAAAAGACTAGGTTTCAAGGAGACGGAAGATGAAATTGATGTTGCATTTAAAATTTTGAAGATCGTAGTTGACAGGAGAGTAACAGCGAGAAGGAAAGTTCAACAAGTGAGAAGTGTGCGTGAAGAAACTATTAGAATAGAACATACGGTTACATCTAGGTATTTCAGCAGTTAAACGATGAGACCTAATTGCCAATCTAGTACTTCGATTAAATTCATGAAGTCGAGGTACCAAAGAAGTAAGCTCATCAGAACAATTGCCATGATAATATTTATATGTTTTAAGTCAAGTGACTGAAGTCGAGATGCCAGGTCGGGACCATTATCATTGCAGATTCTTCTTTTTTTCAAGGATCTCTAAATATATAGCAGGAACACCAGA